AATTTCAGTCAAAATTGGTCTTAGTCCTATACTTTTAAAAATAATGACTTTGATCCTCATATTTATTATAATCAATAAATTTAGGAATTAAAACACAATTTATCCATAAATAAATCACAGTCCTTAATACTTATATATATATATATATATATATATATATATAATAAAATTAAATGCAAGTATTATAATAGTATTTAATCAACGCAATATTTTTTAAATAAAATATATTTTTATATTATATAGTATTAATTATATATATTAAATGTAATGTATATATATATATATATATATATATTATTTTTATTTTGATATATAACTTTACAAATAATTTGTGAACATAAATTTTTTTTAAAAAAATATATGATTAATTTTAGAAAAATTCATAATACTTTTAAAAAATAACAATTAAATATGTAGGTTAAAAGATAAATTGTTAAAGTATAACACATTGAAATTTGTTAATGGAGGAAAATATTTTTCTTTTTAACACAAGAAGAGAAAGTGATGTAATATTTACATTTATAAGAGGATATTAGTATAAAGGATTTTTTGGTAATATGTTTTTTTAATAAAACTTTAATAGAAAATTTTAAAAAATTGGTAAAATATCATCCGTTGAGGGAGAATATCGTAATTTTTAATAAAAGAGGAAAGTCAATCATATATTTACTTTTCTCAAGGTCAAATTTTAATAATTTTTTAAGGAAAGCTTTTAAAAATAAAAAAAAAATTATTCATCAAACAACATTAGAAGTGAACTTAAAATCTACATATATTACTCTAACTCCCATCATTAATTAAGCCAAACTTTATATATGAAAATAGAAATGCATTTGGTAATAGTTACCAAACATATTATCCTATTATAAATTAAGGCTAATTTTACAACACTTAGTTCTGAAACAACGTTTCGTTCGCATTGCTTCTAGAACATTTGTGCGGAAATAATCTCCTTCCTGTTGAAAAGATAAAAAGTCATTAAAATCAACACAAGTAACTGCCGTGTTCTTATTCTAACATATCAATAGTTGAATTGTAATTTTCTCTAGGCTACTTTTTCCAAGCATTGGTGATTAAGCATTAGGTAGAGTTTGAAAACGGACTTTATCATTAATGAGCCTAAAATTAACTTTCGTAGGAAATTAAGCTGAAATAAGGCTCTATTTATTTAGGTTTTGTTTTTGTATACATTTTAAACTAATAAATATTAACTTCTAGAATCGAAAGGAATTCAAATGTTTCTGATACACGTGTTAACAGTTTTTGGTGCAGTATTGGGAGGATTGATGACATGCATCGTAATTTACTGTTGTAGTTGTAAATGTATGTCATCTACACTAAAATTTTGGTCGAGCAGAAAGAATGACCGAGAAATTGAAGCATTCTTAAAAAATTATGGAGCTCTAGCACATCAGAGATATAAATTTTCAGAAATCAAGAAAATGACCAACTCCTTTAAAGATAAACTAGGCGAAGGAGGTTTTGGTGCTGTTTACAAAGGAGAGTTACTTAGTGGTTGTCCTGTGGCTGTAAAGATATTGAATGCATCCAAAGGAAATGGTGAAGACTTTATCAACGAGGTGGCTAGCATTAGTAGAACTTCACATATTAATGTTGTCACTCTTCTTGGATTCTGTTGCGAAGGACACAAGAAAGCTCTCATTTATGAATTTATGCATAATGGTTCACTTGAGAAGTTTATTTACAATAAGGGACTCGAAGCCACTCCATCATTGAGTTGGGATAATTTGTGGGAAATTGCCTTAGGGATAGCTCGAGGATTAGAGTATTTGCATAGGGGATGCAACACTCGAATTTTACATTTTGACATAAAACCACACAACATTCTTTTGGACGAGGATTTTTGTCCCAAAATATCTGATTTTGGGCTTGCAAAGCTTTGTTCAAGGAAAGAGAGCATTGTTTCCATGCCAGATGCTAGAGGAACAATAGGCTATGTAGCTCCAGAAGTATGGAATAGAAATTTTGGTGGAGTTTCACACAAATCTGATGTTTACAGCTATGGGATGATGCTGTTAGAAATGGTGGGCGGAAGAAAGAATATTAATGCGGAAGCCAATCACACAAGTGAGATATATTTTCCACATTGGGTATATAGCAGACTAGAACAGGGTGGAGATTTAAGGCCTGATAAAGTGATAGCCACAGAAGAAAATGAGATAGCAAGAAGAATGACTATAGTAGGTTTATGGTGCGTTCAAACGTTTCCAAGAGATAGACCTACTATAAGTAGAGTAATAGATATGCTAGAAGACAACATGAATTCCCTTGAAATGCCCCCAAAACCTGTTCTTTCTTCACCCACTAGATCGGTGCCAGAATCTACCACCAGTTCTTTGCAATTTGAGTAGATCTTGCAAGTTATATTGTATAACAGATCACACGACAAGTCCGCATAAACATAATCATCCTGTACTTCAAATTGATTATGAAACAAAGTGGATTCATAGGTGTGCCAACAGATTGAATGCAAATGCTATTGACCAAAGTGTGCAATGCTATTTGTATTGCTCAGTAAGAGTCAGGGTCAAATATAATTGTTGCTATAGATGAGATCAAAGTGGTTGACTCTGATGAAATCAGTTATAAAGGATGGACAAATGGCAAATATGTCTCCTTCTCTCTTATTAAAGTTCTTTTCTTTCTCTTATAATAAATGTATTTTTGGTTGGTTTTTGAGTTCATTTCTTTCACGATGGATGCTTGACTTTTATTTGTCTTTATCCTATCTATCGGTTCAACACTTCTGGTCAATAGTATTTTCTAATCTGAACTTTTCTCCTTTTGTGACCGAGACTTACTGCATTAATCCATTTAAATCTCAATACCAATATGCATTCTAATGGCTATATCATAATAAGTGTTAGATTTTGTTAAAAGGTTTAGATATAGGAATAGTTTATATCTCGGGACTTCTGATTTCAAATGTATATACAAGAAAGCAGGGGAGAGATCAAATAAATCTTATTGTGAAAGGTGCTAGGCTCATTTGAAGGATGTGATAGTGATGAGTCTGGCTCCTCCTTTCTGGAAAACCAACACGCCTTTACTGGGGGCATATGTTTGATCTATTAATATAGTTTTAGCAACCACAAAATAAACATGTGTTTTAACATCTGTATTCTGACGTGATTCACTTATCTGGTTTTGATTTTCCCATTTTCGATTGTGGTATGGATGTTAAAGTCATTCTGATTAAGTTTTAAACCTTCCTAAACTGAAAGAAAAGAAAAGAAAAAAAAGTTTCTAAATGTTGCCTGGCTAATATTCCATTCGTTAAGACAACAATAAGGCATAAATTGTAACAGTCCAAGAACCCGCATGTAGATATTGTCCGCTTTGGCCGCA